TATGTCAAACATCCCTATGATGTCAAGGCATCATTTGGTTCTTGAAGACTATCCTTACCTACTCACCCTTAGGAAAAGTAGAAATTTAAATCCTTCCTTTTTTTTCAGAAAGACATTGATTTCCTTCTTAAACTTCTGTAAAATGAAGCTTCCACTACGGCTGATAACTCACTTCATAGGTCGGTCATCCTGTTAGAAAAATAAAACTGTCTTAACTGGAGTGTAGCCTGTCTTTTCCCAAGTCTTAAATTAGTGTCCTCTCATCCAGTTCTCTCCAGAATACAGCACACAGAAGTCTGATGTCTTTATCCTACTTATTCTCTGGATAATCTTTTAAACTTTAATCAGATTACTTTTATCCTTCTTTTCTTAATCTATTCTTAGAATCATCTTAGTAAATCTCCTCTGAATGCCTTCTAATAAGTCAATATCCTTCTGAAAATTAGAAACTAAAGTTTCATTTCTTTTTATCTCAACATGTAGCATAACACCAAATCTGACTATGCTACTTACATTTTAGCAATCATGTCCTCATTGATGGTTAATATTTTACCAATAAATTAAAAAAGGCATTTCTCCTGGTTGGCTATGACCATTTGTTATAACAAAAATCATCCTGAATTATTTCACAGAACAATAGATGGGCTGATTGGACCTGGGAGATAATCCTCAAGAGTAAGAGTGAATTATATGCTAAATTATGAATTCTTTACTTAAACATGATAGGTAGCAAGATGTTTGGGGAAACTCTAAAAATATTCATTGAAGATAGATTAACTTATATTTGCATAGTAGTGAGACAGATTGGAAAGTTGGAAATAGACAAATTGATGGTGTAGCTAAGGCAATAAGGTGTTGGAAGAAATAATTAGAGCATAAGTTAAATAATTGATTTAAAGATAAGCTTAGTTGCTGTTATTCTAATATGAGGGGTGTCAGAAACAAAATTGGTGAGGTTAGGGCTCAAAAAACTAAAAACATTACAACATTAAAAGTGCATAGCAATTTATTAAAACTGCATCAGACTTGTAGAACAACGATGCATGTTTTGGTGATATTCTACTCCACCACCATCAGGACATGCACATTAGTTGTACTGAAGTACGATGTTTCAACTCAAGAGACACATTATTATGGTTTTCAAATCATAAGAAACATACTTTAATCAACTAAATAGGACTTTTTTTGCAACCATGATGAAAATTAGTATGATTAATGTTCTAATTTAAAAGGTATTTTTTTATGTAGTTGTTGTAAATTATATTGTGATGGTTTTTGGTTGTTAATTTTGATTGAGTTTGTGCTTAATTGTAATTGTCTTTGTTGTTAGTATGGTGTATGTTAAGCAGTGAATTTTTTATTCTTCATAAATATCATAATAGACAAGATGCAAAATGACTTTCATTTTGCGAGTTTTTTTTTGGTAATTTTTTATTTGCCACCATGCTATTTTCTGCAAAATCCATAATTTAAAATTTTTTTACAGTGATTGAATGCGTGTGTATATGTAACTGTTCTATAATGAATGTATGTTTTCCAATAATCTGTATTATCATGGTGCTTCCTAGTTTAACATGTTTTTATATTATGCTTATTAATGTTTCTGATGTTAGAAAAGTTCTTTTCTACAAATTCCACCTAAAACATATATTCCCTCTAGACTGTTTTTCCTTGTTATATTTTTTTTTTCTAAGTTTTGATTCATCAATTTCATCTGTGTAACTTGCCCCATCTTGGTTTCTTTTCTGTTTGTTTAATGTTTTAATTTAGTACTTCTCTAACATAACTTTAATAGTCTGGTATTGATTTTGCATCACTCTCTATTTCTACCTCCAGTTTTGTTTCCTCTTATGTGTATTTTATTAGTATACTTTTTGCATTGATATTTTCGAGTTTTTTAACCATGTATGTTTACTTAAAGCTATTGTGTGTTCTTTTTCTTTGCAGTATTTGTTACCTCTGAACCTGTAGTTTGGTTTTTTTGTCTTCTAATTTTCTTATTAATGTGTTACCAATAGAACATTTCTGTGTTTTGGGTAGTACATTTATTTGTTAACAAAACTTTGCCATACTTTTGGTCGTTTAGGAATAAATTGAGGTAGTTTTTAATAGGTTTAGATTTTTCAGTTATTTATTGTATGTCATTTGGTGTGTTCCTGTATCATGTGTAGTTTCTGTGTTTATGGTTTATGTTATGTTTGCTGTTAATATAAGGATTTTTAAACTCCTGTTTGTTATATGATCTGTTTGTGTAACAAAGTTCTGTTGATTTTTGTGAATATTTTTTGTCTGTTTGTGAATGATGTTTATCAGGTTTTGCTTTCAATAATGTTTACTCGCTTTGATTTTTGTTACATGTTTTTTTTTAATGTCCTCTTTTTATATTTTATAAATTTATGTATATTAGATTGTTTTAGATTTCACATAAGCCTAATTGTTATTTTGCTCTTTCTTTCTGTTGTTTTTTGTGTTAATTGAATTTTTTTAGGAGTTTAGCATTTGATGAACATAAATTTATTCTTATTTAATATTTTATTTCTCTTTATCTACACTTTTTACTTAACTCCACTTCCTTGCAACTCCCAAAAATACGACTTTTTGTTTTGAGTGTCCTGTTTTCAGCATTGATTTGTTTGGTACATGTATTGTTTGTATTTTCATTCTTTAGTAGCATCATGATATGGAGCTGTTTATAGTGATCCTGTAGGCATACATCTACATGTGTAATCTCCACATGGACTTGTGAAATTTGGGACAACTACAGAGAAAATCATAGCCAAACAGTGCACTGTGGTGAAGCTTGTTTTTGTCTTTTGTATAACACAAAAAATGATGACATATGCTTTAGGATCTCATACTTCTATTTCAGAATACCAGTGGTAAGTGAAAGAATTATTTTTATTTTTCCTAGTACTACATGAGCAAAACAACATTAACTCTTTCAGCACAGGCTCAGTCTGTGGGACCGACCTCGTAACCAATTTTAACTTGTTATAGTTTTCATGCTATAACTTTTAAATTAGTAAGCGAATGTTAACGAAATTTGACAGATTATCAATAAACATTACAATGCTTTCATAAACAAAATATCAATTTTTTTTTTATTAAGTCTTAAGGTTTGTAAAGCAATGTTTTTCTCATTTCTTTTTTTTTTCTTTTTTGCATGTTGCTTATCTATTGTGCAAAGTAATATTCATTTTAAGATTAAAAATACTTTTATGCATCAGAAAATTTTGAAATTTCACCTTCAAAATCTTTATAATGT